CTGCACGGGAGGCGCCCGAGCCATGCACCCCGCAGTCGGAGAGCAGAGCGCGGCCGAGGAGGGAGAGACTGGAGTGAGCCGCCGGAGGAAGTCCCAGGGCCGCGGAGCTACGCCGGGGAGCTGTCCTGGAGAAGCCTTTTCCTCTCCCCTGGACACTTCAAGCAGCGGTGGCGGCAAACCGCGTGAGCTTGCACGCCGGACCGCGAGCCTCCCCTGTTCCGATGTTGCTCCGCTCTCCGGAGATGACAAGTGAGGAAGAAGTGTCCGGCTGGGCCATCCCCTTCAGGTAGATGAAGCCCTGGGTTTGGTCCTTGTCTCCGGGGGGAGAGCCGGAGTGCATGTGTGCGAGCGTGTGTGCATGCGTGTGCGCGTGTGTGCGTGTCTGTATGTGTACTCGGGCTCCGGGTCTAGATTGCCCAGGCTACTCCAGCTGCATTCAGGGACGGAAACTCCCCAGAAAGGCAAAGGAGAGAGCGAGAGAGCGCGAGGAGGCAGGGCAGGCGGGAGGGAGGGGAGCGGCTGAGCGGCAGAGGCAGGCGCTGGGAGATTAGAGAGCTTTTCTCCGCTCTGTCACACCAGACACCCACAGCCACAGAGGGGGTTGCTGAGCCGCCTGCAAGAAGTACATTGTAAATCTTCGCGCAACAAGCCCCGCAGTCACCCCTCTTCCCGACTCCTTAGCCCCACCGCGGCTTTCCCGGAGGGATCGCTGGAGCCTTTAGCTATTAACAGAGAGAGCAAAGGAAGATCCTGCTGGGAAGACGGGGCTGTGTCAGATTTCATATCAGGCTCGCAGGAGGATTTGGATGATTGTATGTAAATTGAAATAAATTCTCCAAAGCCTGAGTGCATATATTATACTGGGTAATGTGTCCAGGTGTGCAGTAGTGAGAAAAAATTAATAATAAAGGTTAGTGAGGAAGCATTAGAATCCTCTGGAAGCACAGGCCAAAGAAAGCGGACATTTTCCCCATAGAATATTTCTAATTTTAGATGGGGAAATGATTAAGATGTAAAGCCTACAGTGTCATATTTAGCACCCCAAAGTGGAAAGTGAAAAGCTGGACATGAGCCCCATGACTTTAGACTTGCTGGGACCAGGAACAAATATACTCCACAACTGGTCACCTGCCCTAGCCTCAGTTCCTCTCCTGCAGCTTTCCAGTGTTATCCTAAAGAATGGTCTAAACTTTGCTAGAACGGTTATCAATAGGAAGGGTTTGCTAACAGCAGGAAGCATCGGAACAGGTTCCTAGCCTATTGGCTGGTCATAGACTCTTGTCTGAATTGATGGGAATAATAGTGAAGAGTATTTCACTTCTGAAGTCTATAGTACCCTTTACAGGAGTACACGGGATCTCTAACCCTCAGAATTTATACGAAGAACTCTAATTGAAACGATATTTAGAAACAGCCACCCCAAAGGTGACAGCTGAGAGGCCAGAGTCTCTAGTTTCTAAAAAAAAAAGAAAAAGAAAAAGAAAAAAAAAGTGTTATTGACTTCAGCATCAATTTTAAAAAAAGCACAAAACAGAAAGCAATAATTCCTTTTTACATATTTTTTCAGACCATCAAATCTGAGAAGTGTTTAAAAAGTCACATCTATCATTATTTTCCTTACAAAAGGAATGTTTAGTGACACCAGCTTTGGAGGACTGAAAAGACACAATTAAAATATTGTGTTTGGCTTTAAAAGCATAACCAAAGAGAAGAAATCAAATACACATTCATTTTAGCCTGATAGCCACTAAAAAGAAAGCCCTGCTCCAGGAAGCCCTTTTCCATTTATTCCCACATGGGATACATGCTCAATGCCGTACATTCCAAGTGTCCATTTGAATCATTTTGAAATGATGATGAAAGTACGTGCCAGGGTGGGTTTTTTTAAGCATGTTGTATGTGGGCTGTTAGCAACAGACCAAGGGAAATGCCACATTCTGTTCAAGTTACTTTTTTCTGCTCTGTTTTTAAATGTCTATGCTCTTGCTGTCCATATGTGTCTGGTTATATGCATTTTAGGAGTTGAGGAGTCGGGGTTCATTAGTCTTTTTCCATAGAATCAAAAAATACTGGGTAGGCAAGCAAAAGGAGCCCTGTGACTCTCAGCCGGTCATCGAACTTCTCTAACTTCAGGGTTCTAATCTAGAAATTCAGGATTATTGATCTAAGGTCCATAGATTCAGTGTATCTGATTATCAGAGACTTCTGGAACCACCCCCCAGAAGCTGAGAACCATCGCCTAAATGAGGAAGTTACCCACTAAGGGACCTTTCTCTCTCAAAAATTATAGTACTCAAGAAGAGTCAAGGAGGGCTTTTTTGGTGCTTCTTTGTAGTTGAGAATGTTTATGTACTTCTGAAAATTATGGCAAAGCAACTCTCAAATATTTTGTAATTAAATAATGCATTTACCAACTAGTAAAATCTCTCTACTGAGTGTGATTAATTTAGTAAATAGATTCTTTTTGAGACCCAAATGGAGTGGACCCAAGTGTGTTAACACAGAGGAGACTCAACTTCCTATTAATAGTTCCTTGATTCCCCTTAGATGTGATTCATCCAATAAACTCACTATCAAGGTCAAATGGGTAAATATCCTTTTTCTTATATCAATATTATTTAAAAGTCCTGGTGTGTTTTTCTTTTTTAATTCCTGGAGTATATTGCACCCTTATCTGACAGCGAACCACTTTGGTAAAATTATTTTAACATATTTTTCTAAAGAATGTTCATTGAACTCTCAAACCAAAAAGTAATAATCATAATAAAAATGAAGTATCATCTCAAATTGTGTACCTCACAAAAATATTAAAAAGGTGATTCACTGATTTTTGTTTAAAAACTCCTTTCATTGCTGTAGGCCCTTGGATTCCATGTAAGTTTGATTTTCCTGATGCGAGAGTCATGCAATCCTCTAATGAAGAGACTAAGACTTCCCAAAGTGTCTGATGGTCCTCTCACAAACATAATTATGCTGGAAGATTTTATGAGTACTTCTTTTAGCAGATTAACATTATAGAGTCACTTTGGCCAGATTTGATTCAAAGACTTTTCAAAGTGAATGTTTAATATACATGAGGCCAAAAAGAAGCTGTTTTTAATTAAATCTACACCTTGGGCATATAAATAATCAAAATGAACTGTCTTTAGTGAGTGTGCTTTCAGAGTCTTTAAATCGTTGGTTATTATATACTTGAATTTTTTTTCTTTTCACAGTGGTTCATATGTAGAAATACAGCTTAAGTGTTCTTGTGTACTCAGTCCCTCCCAATGTGATTAGCATTTCACATCCAGAATCAACCTGACTAAGGAGAAAACTAGATCCTGTTCTGTCCTCACCTCTCTATTACTTAATGGATTCAGGTTCTTCATGTGTTAATATAAAGGAAATAGCTAGCTCTTGGATTCTATGAGAAAAAAAAAAAAATCCAGAAACCAATACTCTCCTCCTTGTCCCTCTCAAGAAAATTTTAATTAATCTTTTCCATTAAACAGAAAAAAATGAATGAAAACTAAAACTTTTATGAGTAAAGAGACTTGACAAAAAATGACAGTGTAATAGGAAATGCACAGAAGAAAAGAAACAAATAAACCTCACAACGCCCGTCAAAACAGGAAGGATGTATTTTATGAGAGGGATACGCTTCTGAAGACCTCACACAACTGGAGACCAGTGCTGAAAATAAATGGTGGAAGGCTCCATTGCCAGCTACTGTGGTGCCGTCACGTGGCAAGAGCTAAAAAGCAGTCTGAAATTGGAAACTAATCATTTGATGAATTTCTAATTTGTAGAAATTTACATTACCACAAATTGTATTCATATTTCTAGATTAATGCACACTTTTAAATTTTTATAACACTTAACCCCACTGCATCTTCAATACTATTGAGAGGCTTCATGCAAGAACTACCCTTCCAGAATAGAACATTTCTCAAGGTCTTGAAGATGGAGAGAAATGGTTTAAAATCAGCTATCATTGAGATAGTGAAATTTCATGATGTCTTAGTCTGCCAACTATAGTTAACATCTTGGTTTTAACTGTTAGTTGTCCAACTTATTTTTACAATCTATTTATATATTTACTACATCTTATAAATCTTAGGAAAGCCTCATAATTCTGCTTATACAAAGACAGAACAAGTTTTAGGCATCAACAGGGCCTCTCTAGATGGTAAATGTAAGGAAAAGCATGATCAAATGTTCCACAGTGTCCTTCCCAATTCCAGTGTAAAATATTATATCCAGAGAAGAGAGAACTAGGATCTTCAGAGGGTCGTATTTTTATGTGGAGGATTCACATACTAGGCTAAAACTCTTCACTGTTCACTGAAGCTCTTTGCTTTATGATCTCAGAAAGAAAGCTCCATAAAAAGACAAAGTATGTACCATGGAAATGTTTACAGTTTATTCATGAAACCGGCAAACATAATATACACCAACAGCTACAAACGGAATAGAAATTGGATAACTTCGCAGAGATACTTCTATTAAACTAGCCAATTTGTCTGGTAGCACAAGAAATGGAAATAGTAAATATACCAATACAGTCATTACCGTGAAGACAAGTTGCTCAAATCCCTGTTTCTAGGTAAATATGACAGGCAGAATTAATGAGAAAAATAATAGCTAAGATTTTGATCTAGGGCTTAACTTGTGCCAGGTATTTGTCTAAGCATTTTATGTTTTCTCAATTATTCATGAAAATAACCACCATGAGATCAATG